CTGAATGCTCTCTTTATGACAGGGCCAGCCCTGTGTACTGCTGTCTCTTCAGAGCTCATTACAGAGATGCCACCTCTGTGGTGGCCATTCGTCTGGGTCGGTTGGACACAGATTTCTCCACACCTTCCTTTCCTTGCTATCACTGTAAATATGAAAGATATACAGATATAAAGGTAAGAGCCTTCTACCAAGAAAGAGGAGGGTCATTTTAAACTTTTCTGATTTATCTGGGGCTTAGAGAACATTCTTTAGGTTTCAATTCCTTCAGGATTTAGGTTGAAAAAGCAGAGCTTGAATGACATTCTTCATACAGAGCGCTGTGCAGTCGATGCATGACTCTTACTGCTAGGACACCCATGCTAACCCTGACTTTTGGGAGGAAGAAATGGAGACCTGGGGAGATGAAGTGCTGAGCTTCTTGATATCCCACAGAAAGTGCTAACCAGAAATCTAGAGCTACTCATGGCTGCTCCTAGTCCTACATCAAGATCTCACATACAAGGGGTTTGTAAAGCACTCTGCCCTGCACAACCATTCAGATTCTTAAGTGTGTACCTTAAAGAAACACAAACAAGGGTAAAAATGTTTTGAAATTATTTCTTGTGTTTTCTTTCCTCTTAATTGAAACAAGAAACATTTCTTCCCTCCCTTTCTTTCCTTTACCTGTATGAAAATAAATTGTAGCATTCAGTGTGTAAGCAAAGTGCCTCAAGGTTGATAAACTGGTAATAATTACCTATTACGATTCAGAATTACTTTACATCAAGAGATAGACCCAATGGCCAGACAGAGTGGTACATGCCTTTAATCCCAGTACTTGGGAGACAGAGACCATTCTACGTAGAGAATTCCAGGCCAGCCTGTGCTACATAGTAAGACCCTGTCTTGGAAAGAAAAAGAAAAGAAATATGAGGTTTAAGGAAGAATCTAGAAATGATGATGACTTACAGACTTTGTGGTGGGATTTTGCTGGTCATGGGTCAGATAACCACGAGGGGCTGTGATTTTCCAGTTTTGCACTAACATCTGGTGTTAAATGTCTGCAGTTCGCTCTACTGCGTCACATCCCATCCCTCACCGAGAAATCACAAACTTTTGCAATTCTCTAGCCAAAGCCTTTTGCTGAACTGCCTGGAAGCCAGAGCTCAGTGACCCATGTATTTCAAAATGCTCATTGCAACAGATTGGGAGGCCTCGCTGGCCTAATCTGTAGGTTTGGAGTTACGACTTAACCAAGAACGGAGCCTATCCTGAAATTTCAAAACTTCCTGGCAGATCTATTCCTGTAACTGTTGCAAAATGCAAATCAACTCAGAGCTGCAGACATGAAAGTTCAGAGTTCAAAAATCGATGATTAGTTAACCAAAAATCTTCAGATATTTCAATTTGGTTTCTCAAGCTTATAAGGACAAATTGTAGCCCTAGACATGTACAGAAAAATCTTATTGGGCCAGCATTCAGGGAAGTATGTTGGTTAACTTAATTTGGAAATAAGGTAATGATCAATTTGGTTGCTTCAACCCTTGTCGTCTAGGCAAATCTGAACAGTGAAATTTGATGGCTGATGGTTTATTTTCTGATTCCCTTTCTGGTTATCTGAGCTCAGTGTGCAGCACTGTGTAGATATAAGAGCACCATGTAATATACAACACGTCAGTGGGAGTTAGACTGACAGCAGAGCAGCCTCAGGAAAGATTGGTTTATTACCAAAGTTTCATTAGGAGATTTAAATTTATATGATGAAAACTAATGAGAGATAAAAGGAATCAAGACCAAAATAAAAATAAAGTTCAGTGGTAATAGTTAAATTGTAGAAGTGTGCAAAACCGGAATTCTCTAACATTTTCAAAAGCTTTAGCCATCAGAAGAGGATATACAACTGGAAGCAAATTCGCACAGCATTTCTAACAGAACACAACCAGGAATTTAAGATATTTCAAAAATGGTCAGCTGTAATCAATCCAATCAATCTTGACTTTTTAGCTTGTAAATAAACATAAATAACATTGAGATTTAATTACAAGGTAATTTTCTGCTAAAAGTGTTT